AAATCTACAGTTTTCCTTCAGGTAGCATCCAATTAAAATTTATCTATTGAGTAGAATGAGTATATTTATGTATGTATATATAGTTCTTTTGCTTGCTTGTGAAATGGTAAGCTACATAAAACTACACAGCTACATTCTTTTTATAACAACAACGTTGCAACCATATCAACCCCAACTCGTACAAATTTCTCGACTTGAACAAATAGTAAATATTGTATCGAAATTTTACTTCCGACAACAAGTCCGCTACAATGCGGCGGATCACTTTATGAATGCAAGTGCATACTAATAAATACTTACACATACATACGCACATATGTGCGTTCGTACGCCGGTCGTTGCAGCGCAAAATTTGCTATGGAAGCTGATAACTCGCCTCAAGACCGGATATAATATGCTGCCTGGCATCAGTGTTTATCTTGACTTTCTTAAGGCTGCTCACCCACTGATGGTGCTGGTGGTGGTCCTTTGCAGATTGCTGTTGACACTCCGTCTTGCACACTTGTGTCGTAGCCCAATGCTAGCCCAAAGATATTTAGCCACAAAGCATCTTCCGCGGTACTCTCTTACATCACCACTCGGCTTCGACCGTAAAGCTGGCAATGTTCAACAAACCTGAAGGGTTGGTCGCGCTAACACTCGCTTTGTGGGGTAACTGTGAGTTTGCCTTCATCACTGGCGCATGCAATTGTGCTATGGGAGCAACAACAACACCAAAAATAACTAACAACAATTATATAAGCGGCTGCTGGGTCTCATGCTGCAGTGCCTTTGTAAAAAGCTTAGTGTCGCCTTGTCTCCTTGTCGTCCAGACATCATGTGACAAAGCTGGCGACAACCGTGACACGAACAGCCGAAGAAAGTCGTCAGCACCACCACAGTCATGTAGCCGTTCAAGTAATAACATAAAAAGGATATTGTAGAACATTTTCATAAGCAAGTGGCTGTGGCTGTCATGTTGCTTCGTCGCGTTGGAGGGTGCGAAATTGCTGCTAGATATTTTGTCCGGAAGATGCTTGCATATATTATTTATAGTGTGTAGTGCATATGTATAACTATATATACATATATGTATAAGCATGTGTGTGTAAAATTAATAGGAATGCTTGTGGACATATCCCTCTGTGCTAGTTGATTGTAAATTCGTTTTATTTCATACAATAATTTGGAAGTTGTTTAAATTATTGAATTTTTTCGTTAGGGTTGTTCCATTTTGTAGGCATTTGCGGGCAATTTAAGAGGTTAAGACAGTTTAGAAATTTAAAAAATCGAACGTTGTTGCCTGAAAGTACACATTGGGGTCCTCAAAATGTTTAATAGGTAGAGTAATGTAAAAAAATGTCCGTGTTCAATCCCCTGCTGTGCCATAGTTCTTAGATCAGTCTAATAAAATATTTATCACTGTTTCTTATTATTGAAATTTTTGCAAATAAATTTCTGCTTAGATTTGTTCAAAAATTTTACTTCTTTACTACCCCGAAATATAACAATGGCCTGATCAAGGTGATCGAAAATCACATAATTTACCAACAAGTCTTATGTAGATACATCGTTCCCTATTCTCTTGAAAAAGGTGATTCTGAAGAGAGGATGATTAGTCGCCATTTTTATAAAAATATACTTTTTTTTAAACACAAATACTTGTCTAATTAAGTCTAATAAAAAAGTCAAAGTTTTTTCTTTGCATTCAGGAAAAGTTGTCAAGGGTGGCCATTCCTGAGACCCTAGACAGGCCTATCTTCTTAAGGGGTTACATGAGTTAACGGGTTTCAAGAAATCTAATTCTTTTTTTATTATCTTATTAAGTCCTATAACACCTCTAGAATATCGTGCTAAGTTTTCAAGTTGATCCGAGTAATAGTTTCCGAGATACAGCCTTGAAAACTTGTGCGTTCAAGGTTAGCTAGGCTAAGTGCGCCGTCTTTAAACGCATTTTCCTAAAAAGTGTATTTTTGAAGTCGGTTGGCAAGATTATTCGAGAACTACTCAACCGATCTTCATAAAATTTTACACAGATCTTTGAGATACAGTCTTTAAGACGAAGGATTTTTTTCGATTACAACTATTTGAAAAAAAAATAATGTCGGGAAATTTTCACTGAAATATTCATTTTTTAATAAAAGTGTTTTTCAAAAATCCAATTTCCGTTATTTCTTTCCTTCGTCCAAGTTCTAAGTTAACGTTTTAACAAAAACACGTATTTTTTCTTTTTAGATTAGACAAGTTGTATATGTGGTTTTAAGAGTGCATTGAAAATCTAATAATATTTGTAAATTGGAAAATATTTCGAAGAAGCAACATACATACTATATGTGGTTTTTAGTTTTTAAATTAAATTTAATAAGCATTTCTGAAACTTAGTAAATTTTTCGAATTTTCTAAGTGGAAAAAACTGAAAAAAGGCTTAAATTTCAATATTATTTTATTTATTCATAGCAATTTGTGAACCATGATATAAATTTAAATGAGTTAATATGATATAAATGATTATATTATGCGAACTATTATTCGCTTTTATTATTGCCATCCTAAAAAATTCTATGAAATGTAATTTTATTAATTTCGATTGTCAAAGCTTTCTTTATTTCGAAAATTTAAGTTGATGGCTTATGGTCTTAAGCTGCAAAATTCCCTGAAAAAGATATCAAAGATTATTGTCTCTTACATAACAATTATTAAATAAATTTAGTTATTTTTGTCATCCTTTCCTTCAACGTTCCACTTCCTTTGCAACTTACCTGCTCTGAGTATTCTTCTGCGTTACATTGCCCAACCAACTGCTTACTAATCCGCTTCATATTTTGTTATATCACTTTGCTTATTTAATTTCCATTGTATTTGTTTTGAAGACAGACATTGCAACACAAATATTTACTCAATCAACTTTATTTTTAATTTAACTAAAATCGTTTTAATATTACAAATTGAACACAGCTGACAGCCGAATGCACCACTTCCGGCATTCAGGCACCCTCACCCCCGCAACCATAATCTAATTCCTAAAACATTTTCCAACACCCCATAGCATTACATATTTATAAGGCTGTGTGTACAGCAACAACGCAACACCACCCACCATATCACGAAGTAGTGCCAGTTGGCTTTAAAGACATATGCAGCAACCCCACAGCGCCCGCTAAACTTTGTAACACTTTGAGCACTTCTGCTAGAAACCCACACTCTTTTTTAATTTTGCTTGTTCGGTATGCTGAATTATTTTCGTATTTTTCGTTTATCCATTTCCTCGGCGACCACTTGAGCAATGTCCTTGCAGCCCCTTTCGTTTGCGCAACTTTGTATGTACCTACATTTTGTGCGTTTATCCAGCCATCTTTGTGTTGTGCTTTGTTTTCTTTTTCACCACCACTCGCACGCTCCGAGTTACCCTCACCCATGCGCAGACATTTGCCCGTTTGTCCGTGCACTTGTATTTTATATCCACAAAATGAGTCATGCAAAGTATCGAAACAATGTTGCCGACGCTAAGCTTTACACTTGCAACGCACACATATAACTATTATGTGCATGTATGTTTGTACACTGAACTTAGACCCTCTTACCGTTATGCATGCTTGTCATTCGTTCTGTTGTTGTTTTTGGTTTTTGGCTTTTTTCTTTATTCTCTTTTAGTTTATTTGTTTTGTTATTTCGTGTCATTCGAAAGCTTAGCGTGTAAACACCCAGCGCAGAGCGTTTGCGTTTTTTCTTCACCTTCTCCAGCTGCTAACTCCCCAAGCAACTTGTGAGGGTTGTGGCAGCGTTTTGCGGACTTCTTAGCCGCTCTGCGCTATTCGTGCACCATTTTGTGGCAAGTTAGTTGGCGAGGAAGTAATTTCACATTTTTTACTACTTTTCCATGCACTTTCGTTGGCGTTTGCTACGTGTTTCTTTATTCAATAAAATACGAAATCAATAAAGTAAGGCAGCGAGTACTGTTGTATATTTTAATTTGTAAATAACATTCACTTGCGTATATTTCACTTAATGTGAGAAAGTAGTTAGTGCCAGTAAGAAGGCGTATAAATCATTAGAAAGCGTCGCTTACTTTGTATTGTTGTGTGTGAAGTTGGTAGTAAAGCGTGAAGCTATTCCTGTGTGTAAAACCTGTATTGCAATTAAGTCATAAAATTATAAATAGAAGCCGTAGATTAAGGTAAATAGTAACTGTTCTAGCCTTCTTCTGAGTTTTGCATAATTTTGCAAAGTTATAAAGCAAAGGCTTGACGTGTGCTTGAGAGCCAAGTTAATTTCGAAAGTTTGCGAAACGAAATAGCTGAGAGAGTTATTATATAAAAGAAGTAAAAAATTTAGCATAAGCTTCCATAAAAATAGTAAGCCTTCTTCGATTTGTTATTTTTCTGCTCGCTAACCCTGGTCGCTGCTCTCTTATAGAAAAATGTACGTGCAAAAGCAGCAACTAAGTTAACGAGTTGAATTCTCTATTAGCGAAGTGTCTCCCTTTTACTATTTGAGGCGGCATCAAGCAAAAAAAAACAAAAAAAACAACAAAAACACAGAGCTAAAAAATTTTTTAAATCTGTGAGGCTGCATCGTAAGTGCTGATAATCTGTTAAAACATCTGTTATAGTTTGTTCGGTTCGCTAATCTCTAGCGATTATCTGTTTGAATAAATGGCATGGCTCGTAAGATTCGCTACTCTCTAGCGGTCGGCTGTTTGAACAGGTGGTATAGTTCGTTCGATTCACCACGTTTTAGCGTTTGGCGAAGCAAAACGCAATAATAACTTTTTCATGTAACAAGCGCTACCCAAGAGGTATCTAAAAATGTCTAGCGTGTTTACATATATAATGAAGCAGTTTTTCGTTAATATTTATCGGTCTTTAATAGACTGTTTTCGAGTGAAATGATCTTGCGCTTGTTGAAAAGCTTGCTTTAATATATTTTAATTTTTAAATTAAACTTTTTAGTCTAAAGTTATTAAAACAAATGTTTGTGTGTTTTAAATTAATTTAATTTTCTTTCTCTTTCTCTCTTTACAGTACTAACTTCTTGTATACCATAATGTGGCGGTGAAGTCAAATTGATTTTAACAAGGTGAGTTCAGAAAGTGGATATTATTATATATTTTCTATTAAAAATTATAATTATTTTTTTTTTAAATCTGTAAAGCATTTCATTTCGAATATCTTGAAAAAGTTTAACACTGCACCTTGTCAGTTCCAATTCTTTTATATAAGGTTTACTTTGAAATATTCTCGCCATGGAGTACTTGAAGTCTATTTTATCAAGTAAAGAATTATGAATGCAGTAGTTAAGTTCAAATCTGTTATATGTAAGATACACTTCCATGTGAATGAAGATCAATTTGTAATAAAGTGCATTTTTGTACTTATAGATAGTATGTGAGTTATATACTGTGGGCAAAAAAAAAAAAGTAAGACTTCTTAATATAAATTTCGTGCAATGGCCCATCCGTCGAAATATGTTTTTCCTAGGTTGGTATGACTTTCAGTGAAATCTGTACCAAGTGTCAGAGCAAATAATATTTAATGTTTCTTTCTAAGGTACATAAAGTTATTTCGGCGATTTTTACGATAGTGAAATTATTCAACAAAGCGGTTCCATTAAATTTTGTGTCTTTTTGTTTTTTTTTTTTTTGTCACGAGCACGTGTTTTTGATCGATACAAATTGTAAAATAATGGAGTTGGTTCTTGAAAATCGACGATTAACAGTCAGAGATTTTACTTGCATCGTTTGAATATCCGAAGGATCAGTGGAAACCATTTTGAAAGATCATCTGGACCTAAGAAAAGTGAAAGAAGATTTGTTCCACAATCACTTTATTTTTTCGAAAAGCAGCATCTCATTAACATCTGTGAAACAAACCTTTACAACTACCAGGATGCCATCAAACGTATTATTAATGGCAATGAGTCTTGGTCTATGCTGACCACCTGGAAACAGACGACCAATATCGGCTGGATATTATGGCAAAAGTAAACCGTAGGCCAAAAAATCACATCAAAGCAGGTCAACAAGTTCGGTTATATTGACAGTTTGCTTCGATTATCGAGATCTGGTGCACTCTGAATTCCTTCCGACCGGCTGAATTGTCAATAAGGATACTATTTGGGTGTTATACTCGTACGTCGTTTGTGCGAAGCTTTTCGCAAAAAAAAGCGGGAATTATGAGTCGACAACGTCGTAGTCGCACCACGTTTTGAGCCGTCACATACTGCATTCATTTTTCGTGAGTTTTTCGCCAAATTCAATATCGTCCCTCAAAAACCGTATCCGCTGGATTTAGCTTCGTGTGACTTCTGGCTATTCAGCAAGCTCAAACGATCGCTACAGGGAAACCGTTTTGAGTATATTGAAGATATTAAATGTTGATCGCAATGCGCATTGAAGGCTATTCCATACATTGACTTTTACAACTTTTTGGAGCACTGAAGGAAATGTTAGCACAAGTGTATTTGAGGAAAAAAGGGATTAACTTGGGGTGCACGACATAGATTTTGATGATTTATTGAAGAATTTTAGAGCTGTGAACAAAGTCTTACTCTTTTTTGCTCATAGCAGTTTGCAATTAAAACCGCAACGTAACAGTACGCAACTCTATAAACTTAAACTTACGTGAGCTCTGACATCATTCTTCTTCATTCATTCTTCATTGTTATGAAGTTTGTAAACCCTGTTATACTTCTATTGAAATATTTGGTGCTGGACGAGTTAAAGCTCCCATCCGGGAGGTAATATGTCGCACATGTGTATGCACACATGTCAGTATATATAAATTGACTGCGAAGCCATAATAATTAGTTATAATCGGCTTTCGAATACTCCAATTCCCTTTCAACCATAGAGATACTTATGTAATCAAATCACTTAACATACTATAAATTACTTGCGAGAAAATGCACTCTAATGCATATGTATGTATATATTATATATATGGTAATGCATTTATGAATATTTAAAGACCACTCCGGCAGCTTACATGCAGCACACACCACACTTTGACTACTTAACTTCGAGTGTTACAGTGGCAAGTTTAAACGCATTTTGTTGCGCATAAGTACAGCATAAGTACGAACTTGAATGCAGGCGAAGTTAGTCAAATATGCATCTGTACATATAGATGCAACAGAGGTTATATATAGACAGTTATAAACCTCTTACTCATACAGAACGATATGGAGACGTGTCAATGGAGTGAAATCTTTACATATATCTAAAAACTAACCCTTTTTCGCATATAGACTCTCACATAGTAATATTCGTTATAAAACAATATTTCGCAAATATTTTCCGTATTTCCACGTAGTGTCACAAAATGTGGCCCACAATTGTCATGTGTGGTTTGCGGGTGGTAGAACTGTCGGCCCGTCAGCGAGACAACCCTAGCCCCACGCAGGCGTACTCCTGACCCCACTGTATGGCATTGTCAATGGTGAAATTCCCGGTTGATCTCCAACCGAATATTTGTGTATTTGAGGCTGTCACTTTGTCAGACAGACAAAAGTACAAAATTGTCATATGTTGGTTCTTTCTTGTTGTTGTTGGAACTGCGATGCTACTGCTACTGTTGCGGCTGTTAGCGTTGCAGCTGCCATTGCTGCCACTGTTGTTGTCACAGCTGATGTTGACAGTTATAAGGCAATGGTAGCAATATTGGTTTTGTGTCAACTCGAATACAGTCTATTTGAGTGTTTTGCATTCCCCAGCCGCTTGGCTGCCTTGCGCTGTACCGCCCTGTCGCCCTGTCGCCCAGTGGCCCTGTTGCCCCGCCACATCGACTGCTGACTCTTGTCTGCTTTGTATGACTTGTGTTTGGCTCTATAGTACAGCGCTTATGCCACATGTCTCTCTAATCGGATCACACTGGCTCACAAAATTGTTGTAGTAGATTTTATGACACAACCAGTGAACTGCCAGCATTTGGCTCTGGCAAAGAGTTGAACAACCCACATTGAGGTTGGTAACAACACAGCACAATACAACAAAAAGGAAGCACAGCAAAAAAACAATAGAAAAATACGCTAGAAATGGCTTGTGTTGTCCCATGCAACAGCAGTTGGAGCAGCGAATTGACAACTGTTTGCATATGCGAATGCACGCTGTTCAATGTTTGTCTATGAGTGTGTGTGTGGAAGGGAAATGCTCGTAAATAAATTAGTAAAGTTGTGGAATATAACTTTTATAAAATTCCGCACTTGAATTCTGTTTCTGATTTGTTGGCTTATTTGCTTCGGAAATACAAAGTCAAAGAGTGTTTTGTCAAAATTTTAAGAAAAGTTGCAAACAAAATATGCAAATTAATTAAAGATGTTATGTTATTAATATTAGATGAGTGGATATAATTAAAATTTGTATTTGATTTTCTGAAAGAAATAATGTTCGGCATAACATTCAAATTCAGTAAAAAATATTTTGTTGTTAATTAAGCAATGCTTTACATATTTAATACCCATTATGTAACCAATATATACCCAATATGTACGCATCATATAACCGTTATGTAACCACTATATACCAAATATATACCCAATACGTACGCGTTATATATCCAATATATACCCATTATATACCATACTATTGTTCAATAACTAATATCGATTACGACCTCGAATCTTATCAGTTTATGATCTTGACTTCCAATATAGTCAATAGTTTAAGCAACTTGTACTCGGGAGCACAAGAAGTGTTATACCGGCTTAAATGTGATCGATTACAGTCTGTGTGTGTGTCTAAAAGTGGCAGCATTACTGATTTTATTGTGACTGATCGACTTGAAATAAATCAGTATGTCATGCCAGATAAGAAGTTTTTTTCAAAGTTGTATTTAACTTATTAAAGCTTTTTCAATTACGCTTAAACACTGAGCATCGCTTGTAAAGTTTACAAACACAATTAAAACTCAGTAGGCAAAATCGGTTAGTACTACAATATATGCATTCGCTTCTTGAAAAATTTAACAGATTTTGAGAAAAAGTTCGAATATTTTTTACATTATTTTCGAAAATACCAAGCAAATTTAATAGTATATCGTATCATTGACACACTTAATCTTGCAACAAATCATTGCCTTCACCCACATTCGGCAAACAGTTTATTGTAACATATTTTCATATTTTCATATGCGACAGTTTTCACATGTTTGCCTAAAAGTTCAGCCCTCATATAGAATTTATTACTAATATCGACTAACACTGCAAACCAAATATGCTTGTATTTGTACAGCAATAAATTCGTTACAATCAATTTGCCAACAGTTGCCAACTTTTGCCCCCCCTTTCTATTTCCATACAGCGAACACTAACAAAAGCCAAATAATACAGAGAATCAGCTGCAAATCGCTGACGCCACATGCTGTGACGAATTGAATTGAACTAACGTACAAACACAAACAAACAAACACATAAATAAAAGTTCAACTCATAAAGTGACGTCAGTTTGGCCGCCTGTCGCTGCTATCTAGCATGATTGCTTTGCTGCCCTTGGCGTAGGCGTAGAAGGATTTGTTTTCAGCCAGTTAGGCGCCCGACAACGACCGTTGGCTGCCGACCGGAGGAGGCTCTGACACTGCACCTTATGTATGTAGTTGTTTCTAACCGCTGCCGCCCTTAGCATTAGCTTATTGCTGATTAAATGTCAAAATGAGATAAGCGACAGCGCGGCGCTGATTTTACAGCCTCAATTGTCGTTAACTCGGCTGTTCGCCTAGCACCCCCTCGTGTTTGGCTGCGACGAAAGCACTTGGCCTCAACATCCTTTCGTGTCATGTCATTGGTGTCATATTCATGCGCTAGTGGCCTGTTCTCTCCATGGGCGACGTAGTCTTATTCTGCTGCTTCTTCATCATCTTCTTCGCCTGACATTTGCCTTTTCAATTTGTGCCTCCTTAAGTTTTATTGCGGCTTCTTTTGCTTTTATATTACAATTTTATCGTGTTTCAAAAGCCACTTGCGCAAGCTAAATTTAATGTTCAAAATAGCGCAGATATCAACATTTTATTTACGTAAATTTACATAAATTTTAAGGTTGAAATATGGTTACATGAAGTCAGCTAATTTCGTACTTCTGTCTCTTC